ACAATTCTGAATATTTTTATAACCATAGCCTGATCCATAACCCTAACTACTTCCATGATCTTAGCCCAGTATCTAAGGGGACGCTACACGCGGAAAGCTTAGGGTTTCAAGTTTTTGTCAATGTGTAATAAGGTGCATAGGAGGGGGGGGGGGGGGGGATTTTCAGATAGTGTTTTGAATTAAAAACTAACTTTAGGAATGTATTTCTAGCCTTTTTTCGTATTTTAAAGAATATTTAAAAAAAAATTATATATATATATATATACATATACATACATATATATATATATATGTATATATATATATATATATATATATATATATATATATATATATATATATATATATATATATATATATATATATTCATATTTAACATTTTATTTAAACCCGATATATCATTATGGTGATTGTAGACCGAGCTCAGTCTGTTTGAATAGAGATATCACTCTGTTCATAAGCAGTAACTGCATTGGGGGAGGGGGATGTGGGGGGGGGGGGGGTTGTTACTGTATGCTTGGATGTGACGTTATTTTATGTTCTTGGCCTGGTGAGGTTGGGAGGAGGGAGGTAAACATGTTTTAAAAAGCTTGAATTCGTTTATGGACGACCCTTAACCCTTATTCTACCCTTATTTTTAACAGTACAAGGGTAAAAACAAACTTAAAACTGTCTTGGCTATTCTGAATGATTGGTGTAAAATACTTTATATTTTTATTTGAGAAAATGATAACTATATAAAAACAATTATTATTATTATTATTATTATTATTATTATTATTATTATTATTATTATTATTATTATTATTATTATTATTATTATTATTATTATTATTATATAAATAAAAACTAAATACTCTCATAAATAGTTGGTGTGAAAGGAAAATGTATATTGAGTATTCAATTAAAACAAAATAATTTATTTTCTTAATTAAAAAAGTTTATCAAAGGGACGCAACCCAAAGTTTAAAATATTGAGCCGTATATTTCATTATAGCCTCCCTTTCTACTGTTTTTGAGGGGGAACAAGAAGTTGGAAATAATGGAACTGCTTATTATTTTAGACTTTTTAGCGCAATTTCCATACGGACAATTGCGATTATTAACTCGTTCTGGAAGGATGTGTGTCTTATGTGTGTCCGCAGCTTTAAGTCGTATCTCCTCCTCAACGAAGCAATATCGAGGACTAGTTCCAAAAGCAAATATGTTAAGCAAGTTCCGAGGATGATTGTGGGCCAAAAAAATTCCCGGAATTCCTTCCTGGATTTCCCGGAAAAGCCAAAAAAACCTCGAAAAAATGCAGTTTTTGGCCCATATCTCAGCAACCAGACCACTTAGCGACTTGAAACACGTACCAATCGATTCCTGCCATAATTTAAAACAATATTGCCGAAGAAAGTTTTCAAAAATATCCTTTCGTTCGGTCACAAAAAATTATTTAAGGAAATTGCGCTTAAATTGTCACTAGACTGTTTATTAACTTGTTTTAAAGTGATGTTACGTTCAATTAAAATTATTAATGGGGTTTTAATCATTTTTTTTTCTTAAACAAGATTGAACAGGCCTACGTTAAAGTTTTTGATTGATGGTTTGATTTCATTAAACCAACTGGTGTATTATTTCTTTCAGACATTTTGCTAAGTCAGGGCGGATGGGGTGGGGTTTTAAAATTGAGTAAATTATAACAATGTTTAAAGTATAATATATTCTCTCCCGTCTAAACCTCGAGTAGCTGAGTCCACTCAGCTCTGATGAGTACCTAACTCATATTGGACAAAGTGCTGACCACAGCTTCTCTTCATATTCCGAGGTCAAGAAAAATGAACTCTACTTCATTTTCCCATTGGATCGCTAGGTCTAAAGAGGATAATTTACTTATATTTTCTCCCGGGGTACCAGGACTGTAGTTGACGTGAGCCTTGGGAGAGGGTGAAATGCTCTCACCCTACCCGGGGAAATGCCTGAAAGAAACACAGTTCGTGTAACAATTAAGCCAGATATTTTTAACAATAATTGTATTTGCTGATCTTTCAAACGTTACTTCCCTTTTTTCCCCAGTGCAAAAATAGGAATAAATGTACTAAGACTTAACACTTTGAGAAAATCTTTTTTGCTGTTGTGTTGTCTAAAGTTGTCTTGGTACAAAAAAATTAACATAAAACTATCTTCATCAATGTATAAAAACAGAACAAAAGAACAAAGTAAAAGGAATTTGAAATAAAAAAAAACAACAACACGAATTATGAAAAAAATGCAATTTTGTATTTTTAAAATTGTATAATACATCACTATAACTCAGCATAAAACGAATTATTAAATTATAATTATTTCATGGGTTTGATTCAGTTCTCTATCTAATTTAATATCTAACAGGTGTATAATAATAATAATGATAGCAATATTAAGAGTAATAATATTAATAAGAAGAAAAAGAAGCAGAAAAAGAAAAATATTTATAATAAGAGTACAAATGATATTAATAAAATAGTAATAATAATTATAATACAGTATAATTATAACAACAGTTACAATAATAATAATAATAATAATAATAATAATAATAATAATAATAATAATAATAATAATAATAATAATAATAATAATAATAATAAAAATAAAAATAAAAATATTAATAACTGAAACAACAAAAGTAATACAACTTTAAAAGTCATAAAAAATATTGAAAAACTGTTGTAATATTACTATCATCATTTTTATCATTATACGACTGCTATTATTTTTTTTTTGTAAAATATTTTTCCAAATGTGAATTTGACTACAAAATAAATTTCAAAAACCCGACTTGTTTTATTTGATTAAAATACAGAAATATATCATCCTCGAGTTAAAAATATAGACATCATTATGTTCAATAGATAGTTGAGTACACACACAAATTATAAATTGGAGTGTTATGAAAATGGAATTGAAATACGAAAAAACAGAAAAAAAATGACATAGTAATTAGAATTTCTACACACACAAAATACGTTGGATCGAAACCATACCACACCACAGCAGGGGGCTCCTAAACTACATGGTACTCTGTAGTTTTGTCCAGTGTTTCTTCCAGACGTTTTTCTCCGGGGGGGGGGAGCACTTGAAATTTTTTGGGGGGGGGGGGGGGTGGGGGCGGTAGACTTTCTTCGGGGGGCGGACACTGTTAAAAGGATATATTTTCTATATAAATTATATAAATTTCATTTCGTTCGGGGGGGGGGGGGGGCGGTAAAAATGAAGAGATGCCTGGAAGAAACTCTGGTTCTGTCTCTTCTATTCTATGAAGCAGAAACCACAAAACACGTTATTACAACACCTGATTTCTGTGTCAGGATAAATAGGAAGTCAGGAATTACGAGGGCAGTCACTGTTACATATCTACAGCTAAAAGGATAACATTTCAATAAATTAAACTTATGTATACAACATACAGAGTTTCTTTAAAATTGAATTATTCCCAACAACATTTATGTCCCCCAACTTGATTCAGGTACCCATTATAGCTGGGTTGTCTCAATTAATCAAGCCCGAGAACAATACTTTAGATATTCAGGTCTAATAACCTAATGGATGATCTCGTATTTTTTATGATTATTTAGAATATAAAGTTTATTTACAGAAAAACAAAAAAAATAATCTTAAAAGTTGATTTTATTTTTTCCCTAGCTACCGCATTTTATAAAAAAAAATAAAACGTCTTATAAAGTAACAAGCAATACATATTGAGATTGTTTTTCTTTGATTTTTGTTAAAACCCTACACTATGTAAAGATTACTTGGTCGATTAAAATTTGTTTCACAATTTCTCTATATAACATCTCCATCATATATTTAAAACATACGCTGTGCTTTGTTTTTCAAATAGAAACAACGTTAATGAAAAGTATACATTAAAATAGTCAATGCTGGTATATTTAATCACGAAAATAGGTACAACATAATCCAATACAGTGCGGACGTCTTTGGAAAATTTTGATTTTAGCCCAACGCCTGTTTATAAAAAAAATCCTCGATAACAATTATTTATCTCACACAAAATAAAAATATATTATCACACAACACACATCTAGTAGAAAATTTAAAAATCATCGTGATATCAACTTAACAAATACACACAGTTTAGCCACTAAGACGATGACAGATCATAACAAACCATAACAACGTGAGTACTGGCTAGCGTTGTTATTGATCCCAGTGTGGTCGAATACCTCGGGCCAGAAACAGATGGACACTACATTACTTGTTTTTGGTCAAAGTCGTTGGTCATTCAAAGTAACAAAATTTACTTTACAGTTTTCACCTTGTATGAGATATTACATTTCGACATTAAACAATGCATTGATAGAAAATAAATAAACACACACACGCCCATATATATATAACATATATGTAATATATATATATATCAATATATATATGTATATGATATATATACATATTCACATGATTACGTATATATATATATATATATATATATATATATATATATATATATATATATGTATATGTATATATATATATATATATATATATATATATATATATATATATATATATATATATATATATATATATATATATATATATATATATATATATATGTAACATAATAATAGTATATAACATTGTTACCAGCATACGCATCAATTACTATGGGGTTATCACCTTTGATATATAACATACCTTGCAAGTACTAGCATAACAAGTTCAAATTGGTTAAAATAACATTTAGGATTATATTCATCGTTTAAGAACATAATGCGTGGTCATGGGAATATGAAACAATGAAACATAACACGAATGAAATAAAATACAAACGACTTTCAATTTGAAGTCAATTTTCAAAAATAATTTAGAACGTCGATCACATAATAATTAACCTGACATAATTTTGTGCTTGTAGTTTTCATGTTATATATATATATATATATATATATATATATATATATATATATATATATATATATATATATATATATATATATAAAGTGTACTTTCAAAAAGACAGATGTATATGTGATTTACGACAATACTTTACAGTGCAATGGTTATTATTGTTGTATTAAAATATAAATATTTATTCTCAATTCAGTTTTAAAGTACAACTCCGTGTTCGGGAAATACTTTAGGACATTTAAAGCAAACTTTTTTTTCTATTTTTAGTTGTGTGTTATTTACCTCCTGTCTGTACAGTCATTCTTCCAGCGTTTAGAAGAAAAATGTCTTTAACTTTGCAAGATTAGACCAAATATCCAAAAATTAATTTATCACAAAGAAAACAATGATGTTATAGTTCACTATTTACCTTAGTTCCATAACCCTTACATAATCCAAAGTCCAATAACTCTTTCTTAATAAAGTTCCATAACTCCATCACCCAAACACTCATGTCCCATAACTCGTACATTCCACCAAGTCCCACAACTCTTCCATTACCATAAGTTCTGTAACTTACATCCTACACAACATATCATAACTCTTCTACCCCATAAAGTCCGATAACTCGTACATTCCACCAAGTCCCACAACTCTTCCATTACCATAAGTTCTGTAACTTACATCCAACACAACATATCATATCTCTTCTACCTCATAAAGTCCGATAACTCTCACACCGCTTCGCCCTTGTCACCGTAATACAAACGTAGTCGTTCCCGCTTAGCGTCGTCCAGCCCGTTATTGACGTAATTCTCTGGTTCCGGTGCCTTCTTGCGGCGAGACCGGTGTTTCTGGATGGCGTTGAGAATGACCAGGTACAGCTTTTTGCTGATGAACAACATGGCGGCCACACACACGCCAAACAGGCCAACTATAAAAACACCTGTTGGATCGAGATTTTTAAAATTAGTTAAATTGAGAGTGATGTCCCTTGAAAAAAAAATCATTTTTTCAGAAGCTTATTAAATGAAATCGAAAGAATAAAATTAAATTTTTCTAAGTACTTTTCATAATGATATAATTTATTCTTATATTTTATCATTTTTTTATGAAATATATTTTTAAATTTACTTTTAACGTAATAACTTTGCATGGTGGATTAATGTATATAATCACAAAACGTATAAGCAATTGCGTTGTATCTGATTAAATTATGCAAAGTCCACTATTGGTTTCTAATTATATACTGACCACTAGACTACAAACAACATGAAAAAAAAATTGCTAAAGTATTCCAACATTAGCCATAAAGTGAAAAAAAAACGTATGCACTACAAAAACAATAGCACTATATACTAGTAAGTGTCATGTTAATTATTTGCATCTTACAAAAAGTTTACACCCCTATAAAACGTTGAAACCCCCCACTAAACGTTGACACCCCTACTAAACATAGGCAACCTAAGTAAATATTGACACCCCCACTAAACGTTGACACCTCTACCAAACTTAGGCACCCCAAGTAAATATTGACACCCCCACTAAACGTTGACACCTCTACCAAACTTAGGCACCCCAAGTAAATATTGACACCCCCACTAAACGTTGACACCTCTACCAAACTTAGGCACCCCAAGTAAATATTGACACCCCCACTAAACGTTGACACCTCTACCAAACTTAGGCACCCCAAGTAAATATTGACACCCCTACTAAACATTGACACCCCTACTTTACATTGACACCCCTACTAAACATCGACACCCCTACTTAACATTGACACCCCTACTAAACGTTGACCACTCGCGAAAGTATTGGCAGACCAGTTAAGTCTTGACAACCAAACATGATCACGATGTCCTTACCTGCCGTGTGGTCCAGTCCAAACTTGACCTCTCCTGTCCTCTGGCTGTCACTGGCCAGGTCACAGCTTCGCTTGTCATCCCACCACCTGCACACACAGACAACAACATCAGAGGCGTCGCAAACTCAACAAAATTATCAGAGGCGTCACTAGTATAACAACATAAGAGGCGTCACTAGTACAACAAAATCAGAGGCGTCACTAGTACAACAACATCATTGAGTCAAGAGCGCAACAACATTCAGAGGTGTCAATAGGCGTCACAAACACAACATTATCAGAGGCGTCACAAAAAACAGTATCAGAGGCGTCTTAAACACAACAGCATTAGAGGCATTGACACTGCCAAAACATCAGCAACGTTACTACCAAAACACCAGAGGCGTCACTAGCACACTTTACCAGAGGCGTCACCAACACACTATTACTAGAGGCGTCACTACCACATTATTACTAGAGGCGTCACTAACACAACATCAGTACAACTGGACTGGTCACTCTATCCTGTCTAACAGACTATTATCCTGGGCTGGGAAAGATGGGGGAGGGGGGATCAGAGCTAGAAAACTGGGGGGGGGGGGTGGTGAAGGAATATCTCAGCAGTGAATGTAGTTCCGCAGTTCCACCGTGACATATTACAAGGCTAAAACCATGAGCCAGCTCCGTCAGTATACCAACAGTTTCACTGATTGTCCCACCATTGCACAGCGCGAACGTAAAAGAGACGAGTGACTTACTTTTTCTTCATCTTAGCTATAAAGCCGTCCTCTTTAAGCTTGAGCAGGGCGATGTTGATCAAAGTTTTAAACGGCGCCCCAGCTTTCATGCCTATACCGTGTTCCTTAAATAAGATGAAAGTGGTTGTTTTTTTTCTTGTACTTTAACTTGGTGTTGAGAGTAATTAAATTAATGAAGATATTTTTAAAAGATCATAAATATTTTATTTAATAAATATTTAATTTATTTAAAAGATATTTTTAAAAAAGTAAGTACTACTTATTTCTGACTATATTGAACTCTACCAAATGACTTACCTGTAATAAAATCTGATATTATGAATACTTCACCAACTTACCTGTAATAAAATCTGACAAAATTGAACTCTACCAAACAACTTACCTGTAATAAAATCTGACCAAATTGAACTCTACCAAAAAACTTACCTGTAATAAACTATGATATTATGAATATTTCACCGACTTACCTGTAATAAAATCTGATATAATGAATACTTTACCGACTTACCTGTAATAAAATCTGATATTATGAATACTTCACCGACTTACCTGTAATAAAATCTGATATAATACTTCACCGACTTACCTGCAATAAAATCTGATATTATGAATACTTCACCGACTTACCTGTAATAAAATCTGATATAATACTTCACCGACTTACCTGTAATAAAATCTGATATATTGCTTCACCGACTTACCTGTAATAAAATCTGACAAAAATGAACTCTACAATACGACTTACCTGTAATAAAATCTGATATAATGCTTCACCAACTTACCTGTAATAAAATCTGATATAATACTTCACCGACTTACCTGTAATAAAATTGGTGAAGCGGCCGCCATGAGCTCACAGTTGATATTCTGCGCCGCCTCGTTAATTAAATAATCAAAGATGAAGGCATGAGTGCCAGCCTTGACGAGCTTTTGACCCTCCGTGGCGTTCTTGACCTGACCCTTGGACGACTCGACCTTGCTCCAGATGTCTCGGTACACCTTCTTTGTGTCTGTAAACAGTAAACACACTCAAGATTTACATTTAAAGGGAAACAACTTTTTGATATAATGAAATAAAATTTAATCGCTTACTTCCCTTAATACGATTAAAAAAACTATTTTAAGAAAAATAAAAAAAAAGCATTTTCTGAAACGCCACGACCTAATTATGCATTTGCACGAATTGTAAAACAAGAGACGAAAATATGAGGGGCAAGGGGTATAAAATATCTGTTTTATTATCTTGAATTATTGCTTAAAAATGTCTACAATCAGGTAAGGAAGTTAGTATTTAAAGAAAAATTTAGACGTATTTACATTGTCTTTCAAAAGGAGGAAAATAGTTTATGGTATAAAAATGCTAGATTAAAGTATTTTGTCTTTTAAATAATGTAAATATGCTAGATAAAAATATTTTGTCTTTTACAAGGAGCAAAAACATTGCATATTATAAAAATACTTAATACAAGTATTTTGTGTTTTAAAAGTAGCAAATACATTCCTTATTATAAAAATGCTAGATAAAAGAATTTTGTCTTTTACAAGTAGCAAAAACATTTCTTATTATAAAAAAGCTTGATAAAAGTATTTTTTTTTCTTTAAAACTAGCAAAGATATTTCAAGATGTAAAGATGCTAAATATAAAGATTAAGTCTTTTATAAGAAACGAAACTATTATGTTTAAATATGGCAGTCAGTCAAAGTGCTGCCACCCATACCATTTCTCAGAAAAGACATCGTGGCAGAGTTAATCACCGTACTGACTCCGAGGGTCTTAGACTTTGACAAGGCTTCAAAGGAATCCACGCTCTCGCCAAAGTTCTGTTGGGATAAACGGCAAGTGTCAGTTAATGTGGTTAGAATAAACATATCTGTTAGTTAAATTTCCCGTAGAGATTTTATTTAAAACGAGCCGACCCGCAGCATATCATACGCCGCTATTTAGTTGTTGTTTTTTTCTACTTTTCAGTAATTCATAATTTGTGAATTCGACACTGGCACTGAAAATATTTCTTTATCCCCCCCCCCCCTACGTTTAAAATAGTTTCAAACTAAATTATCTGCACCTAATAGTCGACACTAAACACGGCTCTGCTTGTAAACATTTAGCGTGAACCACAGCTCACCAGACCATGTAGGGGTGGGGGTGGTAGGGAGCGCGCTTACAGCTTGTTTTCTAGCGTCTCCCAGAAGAGAATTATATATATAGATACTAGAAAGATGTACAAAGTGCGAGCGCCTGATAATAATGTGGTGATTTTGTCGTTGATAGTGGTTTTGTTCGCTACATTATGTGCTCAACATAAAACAGTGTTCAGTACATATTTCTTCTGAAGAGTATAAGTATATTCATAGCAAGTGTCAGTAATGCGGTTAGAATGATAATGTCTGGTAATTAAAATCTCTCGTAGGGATTTTATACTCTATTTAAAATAATAGGGCTTGTAAGTCTACGTTCTCGAAATCTACTAGCTGGCAAGTACGAGAACGAGAAGTTATGACCTACTTACAAGCCCTATAGAAAGAAGATGAACAAACTTCGTGCGCCTGATTTATTTGTTACTTAATAATGGTGTCATTTTGTCGTTGCCTGTGATTTTGTTCGCTACATTATCTGCTCAACATAAAACAGTGTTAGGTATATATTTCTTATGAAGAGTATAAGTATATTCATAGCAAGTGTCATTAATACGGTTAGAATGAAAATGTCTGACGGTTAAAAATTTTCGTAGGGGTTTTATACTCTAAGAGTATTCAATAAAGATTTATAGAAGGAACGTCTAATAAATTATTGGTGATTTTGTCGTTGCCTGTGGTTTTGTTAATTACATTTTGTGTTCAAAATTCACGGTGCTAAGCACGCATTCCTATTTAATAGTATCCGGGTAAATTACATAATCTTATTGCCACTACGTTTGTAACAGTTGGTCAGTTTATCTTCTGACCCGTAGCGGTTGGCCATCATAATTATATCCTGGCCCGTAACGTTTTGAGCAGAAAATTAATTACATTTATTTCAATAGTATAAGTAAAAAATTGTCATCCAAATTTTATGCATAAAAAAAAAAAAAAATTAAAATCACAACAATGCACCTATGGAGCTGTGCTAACCTCTTATAGATCTAGCTAACATGAGTTTAAAAAAAATTCTCTAATCAAAGTATTGAAGTATAACATTCCTTTACGTAATTAAAACCTATTTATCTCCCCTTAATATGCGGTTAATGTTTACGTTCACATTCCTGATCGAATTGACAGCTTAAAATAGGGCTATGAAGTAACCAGCTGGAAGAAGTTGTGAAAGTGTTTAGAGTGATCTGCCCCTACTTGTAAATGAACCTCACCAAAAAGTTTCACAATTCTCAACGTTAAAATAAAATACTTAAAAAAAACTTTTTAAAAAACCACGTTTTTCTTGTGGACTAAAAAGTAGAAAATAAATTTTCATACATTTGATGACAAAAAACGTGGGTACGTTCACCATCAAATTTCCCGACCCATCTGCCCGACCCACGTTTTTTGTCATCAAATGTATGTAAATAGTTATTTTCTACTTTTTAGTCCACAAGAAAAACGTGGTTTTTTAAAAAGTGTTTATAAATACACGGACTAAAAATCTTGAGCGACCAGGATTCGAACCTGGGTTGTCGCGGCCACAACGCGAAGTACTAACCACTATACGATCACGGCCAGCGCGCTCATATCGATTGGGGCCGAAGTAACTGTGTCAATAAGGCTCCAGTCTTGTCGGTATCTTTAGAAATCATGTCCTCAATTTTATGGTCCTTGGGGCGTAATTAAATTAAGCTAATTACGGTCACTAATTGCTAGTTTTTATGATTGCATCTGAAATTGTTAGGCGAAAGTAGCATGCATGCCAAATTTCAGGTCTCTAGAGCAATCAGAAGTGGGCTAATTTTCGATGTCAATTTTAACAACAAACACACAAACGCGAAGCTGAGTTAATAATAAAATACTTAAAAAAAACTTTTTAAAAAACCACGTTTTTCTTGTGGACTAAAAAGTAGAAAATAACTATTTACATACATTTGATGACAAAAAACGTGGGTACGTTCACCATCAAATTTCCCGACCCATCTGCCCGACCCACGTTTTTTGTCATCAAATGTATGTAAATAGTTATTTTCTACTTTTTAGTCCACAAGAAAAACGTGGTTTTTTAAAAAGTTTTTTTTAAGTATTTTATTTTCTCCTTTTTAGTCCGTTGCTACACATGAAAAACGTGGTTTTTAAAAAAGTTTTTTATATAGTTTATTTTCTACTTTATCTAATGACTTGATTAAGTATGAATTGACTAAGTGTTTATAAATACACGGACTAAAAAAATCTTGAGCGACCAGGATTCGAACCTGGGTTGTCGCGGCCACAACGCGAAGTACTAACCACTATACGATCACGGCCAGCGCGCTCACATCGATTGGGGCCGAAGTAACTGTGTCAACAAGCCTCCAGTCTTGTCGGTATCTTTAGAAATCATGTCCTCAATTTTATGGTCCTTTGGGCGTAATTAAATTAAGCTAATTACGGTCTCTAATTGCTAGTTTTTATGATTGCATCTGAAATTGTTAGGCGAAAGTAACCTGCATGCCAAATTTCAGATCTATAGAGCAATCAGAAGTGGGCTAATTTTCGATGTCAATTTTAACAACAAACACATCCACGCGAAGCTGAGTTAATAAAAACGTGTTAAAAACGTGTTAAAAAACGTGTTAATAATTAAAAGCGACAGCTTTAGAGCCGCTGAAATCTTCATTAAGGGAAAAGCCATTGATGATTTGAACTAAGGTTCTTGTGGTGTAAAACACACAAGTAGCAGCTAATAATTGGCCACTTTACGAGGTAATGAGTTACGGTAGGTGTTACTTTAAACCTGATATTGTAACTTATACGTGCAACATTTTGTAATTATTACAAGCTTTTATTTAACTCACTTCCTCTGTCGTCAGTCTAGATAGAAACGCAGGAGTGAAAATTCGGACAGTTCTACTAGACCGATACGATTCACAGTTGGCACGTGGGTCAAGACATGAAGACAATGCAATCTGAAACTAAATTTGACTTAATTGGATGCCTAATTAATTTTTTATGAATTTATTAAAATTTGGACCGAATTAGTAGGCATGTCTATCCAACCACACCACACGCGTCATCCCCTTCATTCAATAGCTGCGCCATCACGTTCAATGGATGCGTTCAAAGACCATTGCGCGCCTACTGAACGTGATGTTCAGAACGTGATGTTCAGTAGGCGCGCAATGGTTTTTAGTCATGTAACTCTATTGTAAATAAAACATGTAAAATACTGAAAAAAAATTTCATAAAAACGTTTTAATAACAAGCTTTTATGTAATGATGCACTAAAAAGTAGAAAATAAATTATACACTACTATTTAAATTACTATAAAGAAAAGCGTGGGTCTCTTCTCAAATATTAGTAAAGGTATCCAATAGGTATTAAAGTACTAAAGTGACCCACGCTTTTCTTTATAGTAATTTAAATAGTAGTGTATAATTTATTTTCTACTTTTTAGTGCATCATTACATAAAAGCTTGTTATTAAAACGTTTTTTATGAATTTTTTTTTTACACTAACATTACAAAACGGTATTCTACAATTATTTTTTTAGTATTTCTTATATAGTTTTCGATTAAACGATTTTTTTTACTCATGTTCTAAAGCGATGATGTATCACATTGCATGGGGCAGCGTGGCCTAGTGGTAGAGCGCTAGAATGCTTCCCCGAAAGTTTCGAGTTCGAATCCAGATCAAGTCAGAACAATATCCCTGATTCTACCCAACTCTGATGGTTAACAAACTCACGTTAGGGACATAAAGGCGTGTGATATTATCCCTTCATATGCCGAAGTCAAGAAAAATATAAACTCTACTTCATCTGCTCAATAGATCGCTTGGTCTAAAGAGGATCTTTACATTATATCAGATCATAGAGTCTACTTAGGAAACTTAGAGTTTGTTTAATATTCGTTTCAACAGTTTTAGAAAGAAACCCCGTATCAGCTGTTAGAAGTTTAGCAATTCTAAACCAAAGAGACTTGTAAGTACCAAGTTAATGTCTAGTGGGTTTTAAACCAACATTTATGGGAGCCCCAAGGCTTTGATCCTACACCTGCTTATACTTACCTGAAACACGAATCTGAGCGACCACTAATTTGACCACGTTATTTACCTGTCGCTAATTAAAACACAGTTTAACTAGTTCATGTTTAAAATGAAAGTAGGTGAGTTTGAAGATAGAAGTGAAGCGAGTTAAATAAATATGATTTAGTCTAGAAACCTGGAAAAAATCTTTTAACATAACAGTTGAAACTCAACACCTTTAGGTAAAAATTGGTTACCCTAATCTACTTATTCTAATTAGCTAGACTGCTAACCAGAAAGTCTCCAGTTCGAATCTGGGTTCAAATTCGTAAAATGTACTTGAGTGCAATTCCTTCACAGAATAAACCGGGAGTGATCTCCCCTAAACTTTCTCGAATATTCTTATATAAAACAACAGGGGATGGGAACTCGGGATATAGTTATGATTTTTAATCCATTTTAAATACTTAAACTTTTTAAAATAAAATAGAATCTCATAGAAGAAAGTATTGCACACCAAGCGAACGCCGAATACAGATGTTCATAATGGTGCGCAATATTATTAGTACTTTATAAATTTAGATGCGATTTTGAGAAATCGGAAATAGCGTAAATTAGTACTTCCCGTCAACGGAAATTACTCAAAATTTGACAGAACGAAGAGAATTAGATCTTTTACTTACATGTGAAATTTCATTTATCTATCTGAAATAGTACTCAAGTTATAGGCTTTTGAAAAATTCAAAGTAGAAAAAGTACCACTTCCGGTTATCGGAAATCGCTCAAAAGTTGATACGGATCTACGATTTTCATAAAATACTTATTTATGAAATTTCATTAACCTAGCTGTAACGGTACTCAAGTTATCGTGTTTACACACACACAGACACACAGACACACACACACACACAGACATACGGACAAGATTGCAAAATTATGTTTTTCCGTATCAGTGAGGTGTAAAACGTCGAGATTTGTAAAAATCTCGATTCTTTTTTTGCACGATTACAATACTTTCTCTATACTACGTATATACGAGAAAGTAAAAAGGATAACTCTAATTTATTTGCCTTATGGACCATCTGGCTCGAAAAGGAAACTTTACTTTTACTCTATCTTTAACTATTGACTTCTAGAGTTAAAGGAAACGGTAGAATCCACAATCGGGGATGGGAGAGGGGGGGGGGGGGGGAGGGGGTGCTTATACTGCTATCAGATACCTCCACAATTATTGGATTTTATTTTACTGGTAGTAAACTAAATAGACACATATATATATCTTGCTAATCATATGTCAGCTCGAACTCTATCCCTTACCAATGTTTTCCCAAAGTGGACACAATAAGCTAGATAGCTATAAAGGTAGACACAAGGAATTACCTAAAAGGTCGAGATTGCTGTAGTGTTTGTTATGAGGATTAGGATTTATCATAAATGGACGAGATGGCGATATAATGAATTATGATAGTAAACACAAAACGTTAGTTAACAATGACGGTAGACACAAGGAATTATCTAAACGGTCAAAATAACGGTAATGTTAGCTATGATAAGGGTAATTGAAGGTAAAATAAATTCCCTTAATGGTCGGGGTAACGGTCTCTTAACAATGAAGGTTACCACAACACATTAGTTACCTATGAGTAAACAAAAAAAATTACCTTAATGGTCAAGAAGGCAGCCATGTTGGCTGTATAGGTGGACACAGTGATCAGGACAAAGAACAGGAAACCAGCCGTTAGAATTCTCTGAGACACTGGCACCGGTGCGAAATCCGAGCCTCGTTTTAGAAGAGTGCCAATAGTGAACCAGATGGTCTCCTGCGAAATTTTATAAAAAAATGTGACGTATATTTAATTTGTTCGTATTATATCCAGTTTCTGTTTTGCCAATATCGCTGTCAGTGATTAAGGTCCAGGTTACGATTGCTTTTTACAGTTAAGATTAGGACTTAGGTTAAGAGTAATGTTAAAGCTAGTCTAAGTCTTTGGTAAAACAGAACACTGATCTTACATGAAAGTTATGATACTGTCTAAGGGACGGAGTGGCCTAGCGGCAGAGTGCTAGAATGCTAACCTGTTAGTCTTGAGTTCGAATTGGGGATCAAGTTAGTAGACCGATCCTGAGTTCAGTTGATGGGTACCTAACTCACGTAAGGGAGAGTAAAGACGGCTGGGAATAGTGCTTACCATACTATCTCTTCAAATGACGAGGTCACAGAAACAGGTGAACCGTAATTCACTTTCCCAATAGACCGTCATGTTGGGAATGGGCACTTTACTACTTTACTTTTATCATACTGTTCTATTACTGATAACCTTTCTTAAGGCGTATCTTTAATAGTCCTATTGATAACTTATTTTTTACTTTTAGTCTCTTTTCAAACCTGATGGTCTATAGGGCAAGCGAAGAAGAATTCACCTGTTTCTGTGACCTCGGCATATGAAGAGATAGTGTGGTCAGCACTATGCCCAGCCGCCTTTACTTTCCCTATCGCGAGTTACCCATCAGAGTTAGGTGGACTCAAGGAAGGGTCTACTGACTTGAACCCGGATTCGAACTCGAAACTTACTGGTTAGCAGTCCAGCTCTATACCGCTAGACCACTCCGTCCCCTCCTATTGTTAACAGGACGAAGGAATCTCCCCAGATTACCGTACAGATTACCACAAGTACTTTAGGAGAACCCCGATAGATCCCAAAGCTTACCTTAAAGGTGAAACGTCTGTCTTCAACACTGCAGTAGTCCATGCAGTAAAAAACTATAGTCACAAGGGCCGAGGCGCCCACTATCGCCATCCAGAGTTCCAGGGAAAACGGCATCATAAACTGTGGCAGTTAATTAGTGTAATTAGAGACGGGTATGACGTCATAAACTGTGGCAGTTAATTAGTGTAATTAGACGAGAGTATGACGTCATAAACTGTGGCAGTTAATTCGTGTAATTAGAGATGAGAGTATGACGTCATAAACTGTGGTAGTTAATTAGTGTAATTAGAGATGGGTATGACGTCATAAACTGTGGCAGTTAATTAGTGTAATTAGAGACGGGTATGACATCATAAACTGTGGCAGTTAATTAGTGTAATTAGAGACGAGAGTATGGCGTCATAAACTGTGGCAGTTAATTAGTGTAATTAGAGACAGGAGAATGACGTCATAAACTGTGGCAGTTAATTAGTGTAATTAAAGACGAGAGTTTGTCATCATAAACTGTGGCAGTTAATTAGTGTAATTAGAGACGGGAGAATGACGTCATAAATTGTGGCAGTTAATGAGTGTAATTTAAGACGAGAGTTTGACATCATAAACTTTGGTAGGTAATTAGTGTAATTAGAGACGGGAGAATAACGTCATAAACTGTGGCAGTTAATTAGTGTAATTAGATACGAGAGTATGACGTCATAAACTATGGCAGTTAAGGTAATTAAATTAGATGGGATAAGATGAGGATATGACATAACTGTGGCATTAAAATAGTTAAATATGGTTGCCTTAGAATTGTGTAATTCAAATAAAACTATGCCGTATTGAATTCACAATCTAATAATAATAATTGCTTCTGAAATCGTTACAGCAGAACGCAATGACAACTATAACAGCTTTGGCAATTTCCGAAAGATCAATTTAGCAGCTGTATACTTTAAAACACCCAAAGGAAATTCCCGAAAACAGACAGGAATCTTTAACGCAAACCTACCTGAAAAATGGTAAAGCTTTCGTCCGGCCTCTTGACCAGCAGGTTGACACCTGTGCTAAGCACACCCAGGCTGAAGTCTATGGCAGACTCGCGCGTGGAGGTGATGGAGATGGCACCACACGCCAGAGTCGCGTTCTGGAGAAAGTGGTGCAGATGTTGAAACTCACAGGAATTGGACGTTTGACAAATCGACGTCGCAGAAATTCGACAAACCGACAATGCAGAAATTGACATTAACAAAACAACAGAGAACAAATTCGACATTTAACAAAACCATGAAACAGAAATTTGACAAAACAACACAGTAGATACTTGACATTTATAAAAACGAAGCTGCAGAAATTTGACAAAAAAAGGGGGCAAAGATTTTACAAAACGACAGAACAGAAATGAGACATTTAACAAAACGACGAAGCAGAAATTTCACATATATCTAAACGACAATGCAGAAATTCAACAAAACGACAGAGAAGAACCTTGCCAATTAACAAAAAGAGACCAAACATAAACTCGCCAATGAACGTAAAGCTAAAACAAGATTTGCAAATTAATTAAACAACACAAATTTAACTATTATGAACAAAAAATGCACATCTTACTAGGCAGCAAAGTGTAAAAAAAAATCCAACAAATGACCTTGACCTACCCCTTGCATGACCTCGTTGACCATACCATCCCAGGTGCCCCGGGCTGAGCTGTACGCGCCGTAGACGTTGCCAGGACTACGGTAGATCTCATACTGAAACTTTAGCTCCTGAGCTAGTTTCTTGATCAGGTCAATGGTGAACCCTTCATAGAGGTCATCGTCCAGTGGATTGTCTCGCTTGACCACGAACGGATACTCCTACATTGGTGGTGAAGGTCAGGTTTAAATATAGAAATACATGTATTATATATATATATATATATATATATATATATATATATATATATATATATATATATATATATATATATGTAAATATATCTCAAAGACAAACTATCTCACGGAAAAAAACACGTGATCTCAGACAAAATATCTCAGACAAAATATCTCAGACAAAATATCTCAGACAAAATATCTCAGACAAAATACTTAAATTGATTTGAACATTTTTTATTGAGTGTCATACGGTTTTGTTTATTATATTTAGTAATGTTTATAGACCTAAATAATTATTGTACGAAATGTTTGCCGCATAAACTAATTTCCTAAAACCTATATATATATATATATATATATATATATATATATATATATATATATATATATATATATATATATATACATCCACCTACCTCAACCACAACGATGCGAACCAAATCAGGAAAGATACCAATATGTTGCTGAGTCCCGTTGTTTGACTCTACTTCACCTGTCAGTGTAAGCCTCGCTTCAGGTGTTGACTTGTGTGGATTCCACTTGGCGATCTAATTGGTGTTTGATAGTAGGGTATTAATACGTACACAATATAGTTTAAAAATATAAATACTATTGTAATACAATCTGTGTGTGTTCAACATATATAGAGAAAGATGAGTGCCAAATAATAACGCCTTATTGAAAGAAGCGTTTGAATGCAGGACAGTGTTATATTATTAGCCCACTAATTACTGCGTTAAATAAACAAAATAATTGGTGTTTTAACACACAACAACTTATTAATATTTAAAACCGAAATGACGATGAAAAGTTAAATGAATTTTGAAATAGCTAATTTCGTATAAATCATTATGTTTTGCAGTTGGCAGTATTTTTGCCCAACCTCGTGTTTAAGAATAAAAGTGGAATCAAATGTTGATTAAAAAATGGTAATTAATAATTGTATAGATACTATACTGTTAAATCGACTATTAAAAAAACAGCTGCAATTTGCAAAACAAGAAATTAAATTAAATCTTTTTCCAATTTATTTTTTCGTTGGTCACCAACATTCTAAGTTTACAAAAAAACATAAAAAAATAACTTTAAATAAACAGAATTATTTACAAAGAAAATTCATCTCGCCCCATAACACTTTTATATACGACAAATAATATACCTATAGACACTTTCAATAAAAAAAAAACTACCTCTACCATTACCCACCATTTAGGCTACCCTTCAAATAGAACAAAAAACCCAACTCTTACCCAACAAATAAAACAAAAACCCACCTCTACCATTATCCACCATTTAGGCTACTCTACGAATAAAACAAATAACCACCTCTACCATTAGCCTTCTTTTACTCTACAAATAAAGCAAAAACCCACCTCTACCACTACCCACCATTTAAAGTACACAAAACCCACCTCTTTGTTCATTATCTCTCCTCCATGGTTGTACAGAGCTAAGGTGTAGTTGACTCTTTGACCATTCTGGTCGAACTCTATGTTACCTGTTCGACCAATCGTTTTAATCTGCAACATAGAGTGGTGTTTACAATACAGCTAATCTACAACATAGAGTGATATTTACAATACAGCTAATCTGCAACATAGAGTGGTGTTTACAATACAGCTAATCTGCAACATAGAGTGGTGTTTACAATACAGCTAATCTGCAACATAGAGTGGTGTTTACAATACAGCTAATATACAACATAGAGTGGTGTTTACAATCAGTGGCGTAGCCAGGATCGTCTCAAGGGGGGGGGTTCCAATTTTTACCCGGGGACAAACTTTCGATTTGCACTTCCCCCCTCAAACTTTCGATTTGCACCCCCCCCTCAAACTTTCGATTTGCACCCCCCCCTCAAACTTTCGATTTGCACCCCCCCCCCCTCAAACTTTTGATTTGCACCCCCCCCCCCTCAAACTTTCGATTTGCACCCCCCCCCCCTCAAACTTTCGATTTGCACCCCCCCTCATACTTTTTATATATACCGAGGGGTCTATGGGGGGGGTTATGACCCCCCCTAACCCCCCCCTGCCTACGCCACTGTTTACAATACAGCTAATGTGCAACATAGAGGAATATTAGCTGTATTTACAATACAGCTAATGTGCAATGCATAGTCCAGTGGTTAACCTGTTCGATCGAACCCCAGGAAGATTCAATCTCAGGGGTTAGACGGAGGTCAAGACACACCCGACTTATAAATGATTTACGATCGGAATTTGTCAGTTTGGACCATAAAACTATTAAGAAGGGTTTGGTGAACACGCATTTAAAACTGGTGGGTTCGGCACCTCAAAAAAGGTTAAGAACCACTGGGGGGGGGGGGGGGGGGACGGGAACACCCATTAATTTTTGTAGGGTTTATTTATGATAATTGATCATTATTTATGTATATTTATGTTATAGACCACATTTTTAACAGATATATAGATGCGTAACGTTAATGTTAATTAATAGATGCCTAACGTTAATGTTAATTGATAATAATGATCAGAAAAGAAAAGTGTTGGCTATATCTTGATAATTTGTATTAGTTGATTAATAATAAAGATAAGTAAAAGAAAAAAAATCGATTGTATTAATCTTGATAATTTGTATTAGTTGAATAATAATAAAGATAAGTAAAAGAAAAAAAAATCAATTGTATTAATCTTGATAATTTGTAGCAATTAAAAAAAAATTAACGCACAGATTTAAGAGCTTTTAGAAATCTTTTCGGATCAAAATCGTTGCTGACGATCATTTGATCCCTGAGGTAATGTTCCAGAGCGTATGACGTAATGCGGGCCGCGTCCCGGGCAGCGGCCTTATCCTCGTCACCGTTGAAGCCGTCAGCGTTGGGCTTGATGTAGCGGAACGCTAGTAGCTCACAGCGTGCAGAGAACAGGCCTAGGCGGTACATCTCACTGGCACCAGAGAATGGCTTCAGGTGGGACGACTGGGGGGAGAAGGTATACAGGTGAGTTGACAAGATTTATACAAGTGAGGTGACAAGATTTATACAGGTGGGAGGACAAGATTTATACAAGTGAGAGGACAAGATTTATACAGGTGAGAGGACAAGATGTATACAGGTGGGAGGACAAGATTTATACAGGTGAGAGGACAAGATTTATACAGGTGGGAGGACAAGATTTATACAGGTAAGATGGCAAGATTTATACAGGTGAGAGGACAAGATTTATACAGGTGGGAATACAAGATTTATACAGGTGAGATGACAAGATTTATACAGGTGTACAGGTGAGATGACAAGTTTTATATAGGTGGGAGGACAAGATTTATACAGGTGAGGTGACAAGATTTATACAGGTGAGAGGACAAGATTTATACAGGTGAGATGACAAGATTTATACAGGTGTACAGGTGAGATGACAAGTTTTATATAGGTGGGAGGACAAGATTTATACAGGTGTACAGGTGAGGTGACAAGATTTATACAGGTGAGATGACAAGATTTATACAGGTGTACAGGTGAGGTGACAAGATTTATACAGGTAAGATGACAAGATTTATACAGGTGTACAGGTGAGATGACAATATTTATACAGGTGAGGTGACAAGATTTATACAGGTGAGATGACAAGATTTATACAGGTGTACAGGTGAGATGACAAGATTTATACAGGTGAGATGACAAGGTTCATACAGGTGAGATGACAAGATTTATACAGGTGAGATGACAAGATTTATACAGGTGAGATGACAAGATTTATACAGGTGGGAGGACAAGATTTATACAGGTGAGGTGACAAGATTTATACAGGTGAGATGACAAGATTTATACAGGTGTACAGGTGAGATGACAATATTTATACAGGTGAGATGACATGAGTTATACAGGTTAGGTGACAAGATTTATACAGGTGGGAGGACTAGGGGGAGAAGGTATACAGGTGAGATTACAAGATTTATACAGGTGAAATGACAAGATTTATACAGGTGAGATGACAATATTTATACAGGTGAGTTGACAAGATTTATACAGGTGGGAGGACTAGGGGGAGAAGGTATACAGGTGAGATGAAAAGATTTATACAGGTGAGATGACAAGATTTATACAGGTTAGGTGACAAGATTTATACAGGTGAGGTGACAAGATTTATATAGGTGGGATGACAAGATTTATACAGGTGGGAATACAAGATTTATACAGGTGTACAGGTGAGATGACAATATTTATACAGGTGAGTTGACAAGATTTATACAGGTGGGAGGACTAGGGGGAGAAGGTATACAGGTGAGATGACAAGATTTATACAGGTAAGATGACAAGATTTATACAGGTTAGGTGACAAGATTTATACAGGTGGGAGGACTAGGGGGAGAAGGTATACAGGTGAGATGACAAGATTTATACAGGTGAGATGACAAGATTTATACAGGTGAGATGACAAGATTTATACAGGTGAGATTACAAGATTTATACAGGTGTACAGGTGAGATGACAAGATTTATACAGGTGAGATGACAAGATTTATACAGGTGTACAGGTGAGATGACAAGATTTATATAGGTGGGAGGACAAGATTTATACAGGTGTACAGGTGAGGTGACAAGATTTATACAGGTTGGATGACAAGATTTATACAGGTGAGGTGACAAGATTTATACAGGTGAGATGACAAGATTTATACAGGTGTACAGGTGAGATGACAATATTTATACAGGTGAGATGACAAGATTTATACAGGTGAGAGGACAAGATGTATACAGGTGGGAGGACAAGATTTATACAGGTGAGATTACAAGATTTATACAGGTGAGATGACAAGATTTATACAGGTGAGATGACAAGATTTATACAGGTGTACAGGTGAGATGACAAGTTTTATATAGGTGGGAGGACAAGATTTATACAGATGTACAGGTGAGGTGACAAGATTTATACAGGTGAGATGACAAGATTTATACAGGTGTACATGTGAGGTGACAAGATTTATACAGGTGAGGTGACAAGATTTATACAGGTGTACAGGTGAGATGACAATATTTATACAGGTGAGGTGACAAGATTTATACAGGTGTACATGTGAGGTGACAAGATTTATACAGGTGAGGTGACAAGATTTATACAGGTGTACAGGTGAGATGACAATATTTATACAGGTGAGGTGACAAGATTTATACAGGTGTACAGGTGAGGTGACAAGATTTATACAGGTGAGATGACAAGATTTATACAGGTGTACAGGTGAGGTGACAAGATTTATACAGGTGAGATGACAAGATTTATACAGGTGTACAGGTGAGATGACAATATTTATACAGGTGAGATGACATGAGTTATACAGGTTAGGTGACAAGATTTATACAGGTGGGAGGACTAGGGGGAGAAGGTATACAGGTGAGATTACAAGATTTATACAGGTGAAATGACAAGATTTATACAGGTGAGATGACAATATTTATACAGGTGAGTTGACAAGATTTATACAGGTGGGAGGACTAGGGGGAGAAGGTATACAGGTGAGATGAAAAGATTTATACAGGTGAGATGACAAGATTTATACAGGTTAGGTGACAAGATTTATACAGGTGAGGTGACAAGATTTATACAGGTGGGAGGACTAGGGGGAGAAGGTATACAGGTGAGATGACAAGATTTATACAGGTAAGATGACAAGATTTATACAGGTTAGGTGACAAGATTTATACAGGTGGGAGGACTAGGGGGAGAAGGTATACAGGTGAGATGACAAGATTTATACAGGTGAGATGACAAGATTTATACAGGTGAGATGACAAGATTTATACAGGTGAGATTACAAGATTTATACAGGTGTACAGGTGAGATGACAAGATTTATACAGGTGAGATGACAAGATTTATACAGGTGTACAGGTGAGATGACAAGATTTATATAGGTGGGAGGACAAGATTTATACAGGTGTACAGGTGAGGTGACAAGATTTATACAGGTGGGATGACAAGATTTATACAGGTGAGGTGACAAGATTTATACAGGTGAGATGACAAGATTTATACAGGTGAGATGACAAGATTTCTATAGGTGGGAGGACAAGATTTATACAGGTGAGGTGACAAGATTTATACAGGTGAGGTGACAAGATTTATATAGGTGGGAGGACTGGGGGTAGAAGGTATACAGTTGAGAGGACAAGATTTATACAGGTGAGATGACAAGATTTATACAGGTGGGAGGACAAGATTTATACAGGTGGGAGGACAAGATTTATACAGGTGAGGTGACAAGATTTATACAGGTGAGATGACAAGATTTATACAGGTGGGAGGACAAGATTTATACAGGTGAGGTGACAAGATTTATACAGGTGAGGTGACAAGATTTATATAGGTGGGAGGACTGGGGGTAGAAGGTATACAGTTGAGAGGACAAGATTTATACAGGTGAGATGACAAGATTTATACAGGTGGGAGGACAAGATTTATACAGGTGGGAGGACAAGATTTATACAGGTGAGGTGACAAGATTTATACAGGTGAGGTGACAAGATTTATATAGGTGGGAGGACTGGGGGTAGAAGGTATACAGTTGAGAGGACAAGATTTATACAGGTGAGATGACAAGATTTATACAGGTGGGAGGACTGGGGGTAGAAGGTATACAGGTGAGGTGACAAGATTTATACAGGTGAGATGACAAGATTTATACAGGTTAGGTGACAAGATTTATACAGGTGTACAGGTGAGATGACAAGATTTATACAGGTGAGATTACAAGATTTATACAGGTGTACAGGTGACATGACATAATTTATACAGGTGGGAGGACACGATTTATACAGGTGAGATGACAAGATTTATACAGGTGGGAGGACAAGATTTATACAGGTGAGGTGACAAGATTTATACAAGTGAGATGACAAGATTTATACAGGTGGGAGGACACGATTTATACACGTGAGGTGACAAGATTCATACAAGTGAGATGACAAGATTTATTCAGGTGAGAAGACAAGATTTATACAGGTGAGATGACAAGATTCATACAGGTGTAAGGACTGGGGGAGAGGAGTACAGGTGATATCTCAATTTTTATACAGGGGGTAAAACAAGATTTATACAGCTGGATACAGCTGGTAGGACCGGGGGAGAAGGATAGAGATGACAAAATTTATACAGGTGGAAGGATTGGGACAAAATTTATACACGTGGGAGAATTAGGACAAAATTTATACAGGTGGGAGGATTAGGACAAAATTTATACAGGTGGGAGGATTAGGACAAAATTTATACAGGTGGGAGGATTAAGACAAAATTTATACAGGTGGGAGGATTAGGACAAAATTTATACAGGTGGGAGGATTCGGACAAAATTTATACAGGTTGGAGGATTAAGACAAAATTTATACAGGTGGGAGGATTAGGACAAAATTTATATATATGTAAATTCTAGGGGCGATGTACACATTTGGGATGAAAGATTTATAGAGTTGCTGGGGGGGAGGACATGAAATATTTTTTTTAAAGGACAAAGACAAGACATATACTGGTGAGATACACAAGTAATTTTTGTGACGTACTCAAGACGTGTTTCACAACTTACCGGGTCGACGAAGATGAAGGAGAAATCTTTGTTCTGTAAGATGTCTAGCAGACGAGCCTGGAGATTACACACATACACGTTATGTGGTGTGAAAACATAAACAGCCACATACATACAAGTTATGTTGTGTGAAAACATAAACAGCCACATGCATACAAGTTACGTTATGTGGTGTGAAAACATAAACAGCCACATACATACAAGTTATGTTGTGTGAAAACATAAACAGCCACATACATACAAGTTACGTTACGTTATGTGGTGTGAAAACATAAACAGCCACACACATACAAGTTACGTTATGTTGTGTGAAAACATAAACAGCCACACACATACCAGTTACGTTATGTGGTGTTAAAACACAAACAGCCACACACATACAAGTTACATTATGTGGTGTGAAAACATAAACAGCAACACACATACAAGTTACATTATGTGGTGTGAAAACAAACAGCCACACACATACAAGTTACATTATGTGGTGTTAAAACATAAACAGCCACACACATACAAGTTACGTTATGTGGTGTGAAAACATAAACAGCCACACACATACAAGTTACGTTATGTAGTGTGAAAACACAAACAGCCACACACATACAAGTTACATTATGTGGTGTGAAAACATAAACAGCAACACACATACAAGTTACATTATGTGGTGTGAAAACATAAACAGCCACACACATACAAGTTACATTATGTGGTGTTAAAACATAAACAGCCACACACATACAAGTTACGTTATGTGGTGTGAAAACATAAACAGCCACACACATACAAGTTACGTTATGTAGTGTGAAAACATAAACAGCCACACACATACAAGTTACGTGATGTTGTGTGAAAACATAAACAGCCACGCATACAGGTTATCTAATATAGTGTTGAAAAAATATAAACAGCTGCATACATGAAGATTAATTTTAATGTGGTTCTCTGCTAACATAAACAGCAACATACACACACATTGATTGAATGTGGTGTTTGAACAATATTTACAGCTATACAAATACGTATCTGTTTTTGTGGTGTTAGGTCTGCGTAAACTACCACTTACAAACACTTTCAGTTGAAAATAATAACACTTATAAATGTACGTTAACGAGAACACAATCATGCATGCTCTTTTATCATTTATGCAATTAGCTAATAATGTAAGTATGAAAGTTTTCATATTATTTCTTTAACAAACAGAATGGTTGTGAAAATAAAAGTAAAATATGTTTATAACTGTAAAGTCAATTAAAAACAATTAATATAAGTGTTTTTAATGTTTGCATTCATAACTGTAATCAGTAGGTAAATAATATCAACTATAAAGTACGTAAAAATGAACTAATTAACTGACTAGTGATTCAGGTACACAAAATACCTGAGCTTATTTATACAACTAAGATATAAAGGTTGTATATTTTCTTATTCCACCAAATACCTCAGCTTATTTATACAACTAAGATATCAAGGCAATCTGCCTTCCTAGTCCATCAAATGACATTAGCTTAGACAACATAAAGGCTGTACATTGTTGTTGTATATCTCTTTGATCACGTGTGAACTCACATCATTGTTTCAACAACCTGGAGAAAATGCAGGCTACTGCGCATGTCAGCATACCGTAAACAACGTTATCCAAGCTAAGGTCAAGGCTAGATGAACTAGACCTGTACTACTATTGTAATAAAGGGGGTGGTCCATATATGACGACTCGCCAGGTAGCCGGTTTAATCATTATATATATATATATATATATATATATATATATATATATATATATATATATATATATATATATATATATATATATATATATATATATATATATATATATATATATATATATATATATATATATATATATATAAATATATATAAATATATATATATATATATATATATATATATATATATATATATATATATATATATATATATATATATATATATATATATATATATATGTATATATGTATGTATATGTATATAAACATGTATATATAAATATTTAAACATATATTTATGTATATATATATATATATTTATTTATTTATATACATATATAAAATACATATATACATAATCAGTGTGTGCATGTATGTGTGTATATATAACTTATATGATAATAGGTCAGACCAATATTTTCCATTCCTTCTAAAGACGTTACATGTTCCATTCCCCATGCCTTCTCCTTAATTTGAACAAAATGTTTCCTCTGTGGTTTAAGGAAACAAAGCTTACAGAACTATACATACCTCAAGCAACCACCCCCACCTTCACCCGTTCCCAACAAACGCCAGAACCCCCCCCCCCCCCCCCACACGTTATTAATGGAAGCCTAAAATCATTCAAGCATTCCCTAATTATATTAATTCAAGCTGTGCATTACGTATTACATCCAGCAAAGTTTCTGTAGTAAATTATCTATACAAGAGGAATTTTACGTGAAGACATAAAAATATTGTGTGACGTCAGAGACTTGGATAGACAAAAATCGTTCAGCAGATGGAGATGGTAAAGTGATTAGAAGAAAGGGAGAGAGAAAGATATACATATATATATATATATATATAGAGAGAGAGAGGGATATAGAGTAAGAGAGAAATGGGGTAAAACGATATTTAGAGGGAAGGAACGAAAGATATATTTATATATATATATATATATATATATATAGAGAGAGAGAGAAAGACATATATATATATATATATATATATATATATATATATATATATATATATATATATATGTAAGTGTGCTGAGATAAAATTAGAAAGAGTGATGGAAACAGAAAGGCCATTGGCGTGGCTATGTGGGGAGTCACCAGGTGCGGTCCGCACCCCCGCCCCGCCCTCGCTAAGCCTCTGAGAAAGGCAAATTATGTGACAGAGACAGGGGTTGCGTTAGAAAGTGAGATAGAGAGAGAGCGAAAGAGAGAGAGAGAGAGAGACAGAGAGAGACAGAGATGGGAAATTGAGAATCAGAAAGAAAGAGATTCAGATAAAGAGGGATAAAATGTGTAAGAATGTTGACATAGAGCAAGAAAGAGTAAGCACAAAACGACAAGACTGCAACTGATTCCACTCAAGCGTAACATTTCCTCACCCGATACAGCACGCTCTCGATCAGGTGATCACGGGAGTCACGTGGGCTGCAGACGATGATCCGGGTCTGGCGGGAGAGACGGGCGTTCCTCAGGAGCTCCACCACGGAGGCGTTGTAGTTCCTCCCCCGGGGGTTGACGGTGAAGGGGATGAGGGAGAGGCCACGGTTGAGCATCTGTCCGGCTAGGTTCTGGCATTCTGGGGAGGATTGGGAGGAGGGGTTATTGGGGTGAAGGAAGGTGGGGAGGTGTAGGGAGGAGGGGGTTAGTGGGGTGTAGGGAGGTGGGGAGGTGGGGAGGTTTAGGGAGGAGGGGGTTAGTGGGGTGTAGGGAGGAGGGGAGGTTTAGGGAGGAGGGGGTTAGTGGGGTGTAGGGAGGTGGGGAGGTTTAGGGAGGAGGGGGCTAGTGGGGTGTAGGGAGGTGGGGAGGTGTAGGGAGGTTTAGGGAGGAGGGGGTTAGTGGGGTGTAGGGAGGTGGGGAGGTGTAGGGAGGAGGGCAGGTGGGGAGGTTTAGGGAGGAGGGGGTTAGTGGGGTGTAGGGAGGTGGGGACGTGTAGGGAGGAGGGGGTTAGTGGGGTGTAGGGAGGTGGGGACGTGTAGGGAGGAGGGGGTTAGTGGGGTGTAGGGAGGAGGCTGGGGTCATATTGTAATGGAGGAAGCGGAATGGGAGGCTGCGTAGGACTTACTTGATAGGAAGAGTAGTCTGGTGTAAGGTGGTAGATGACGTAACGAATTATAACGGTCGAGGATTAATTTGAGAGGTTGTGTGTTACTACTTGGAGGGGGTGTGGTCTAGAATGGAGGGTGATGTCGTGAAGTTAAATAGGATGGCGTGACCGTATTGCGGTTGAATGCTAATCCAAAAGTCTCGAGTTCGAATCCGGGTTTAAGTCAGTAGAATGCCACTGAATCTACCCAGCTAATGGCGGCTGGACATAGTAGACCACACTATCCCCTCATATACCAATTTCACAGAAACAGGTAAACTCTACTTCACTTGCCTCATGCACAGTAAAGAGTTGGACGTCATTAATGAAGCAAGTAAAAATAAGATAGGTGCAGCAAAGACATTGAATTACATACATACTCGTTTTCTAAATTAGCGTTTATCTTTTAATTGTAGGTGTTAATATAGAGTGGCACTTGTTGACAGAGGTATTTTCCTGTAAAAAAAAACAAGGTCAAGGTTAGGCCATTTGGGTCAAGGTTACCTTGATTGTCTGCGGCACTCTCCGGCATAACCATGATGGCGCTCATCCACTTCCGGTGCAAAAAGAAATCCACCACAGCTAGGTTCATGGCCTGGGCCGGGGGTCGAATCTCCACCACAGTCTTCCACTTGATTCTGTCCTGGACACGGCTCATGTCAATCCACTCAAAACCTGGGACAAATGTATGGGAACATGTCAGTGTTGGGGACAAATATATGGGAACATGCCTGAGACAAATGAATGGGAACATGCCTGAGACAAATGTATGGGAACATGTCTATGTTGAGGACAAATGTATGGGAACATGTCTGAGACAAATGTATGGGAACATGTCTGAGACAAATGTATGGGAACATGTCAGTGTTGGGGACAAATATATGGGAACATGCCGGAGACAAATGAATGGGAACATGCCTGAGACAAATGTATGGGAACATGTCTGAGACAAATGTATGGGAACATGTCTGAGACAAATGTATGGGAACATGTCTGAGACAAATGTATGGGAACATGTCTGAGACAAATGTATGGGAACATGTCAATGTTGGGGACAAATGTATGGGAACATGTCTGAGACAAATGAATGGGAACATGTCAGTGTTGGGGACAAATATATGGGAACATGCCGGAGACAAATGAATGGGAACATGCCTGAGACAAATGTATGGGAACATGTCTGAGACAAATGTATGGGAACATGTCTGAGACAAATGTATGGGAACATGTCTGAGACAAATGTATGGGAACATGTCTGAGACAAATGTATGGGAACATGTCAATGTTGGGGACAAATGTATGGGAACATGTCAATGTTGGGGACAAATGTATGGGAACATGTCTGAGACAAATGTATGGGAACATGTATGAGACAAATGTATGGGAACATGTCAATGTTGGGGACAAATGTATGGGAACATGTCTGAGACAAATGTATGGGAACATGTCTGAGACAAATGTATGGGAACATGTCAGTGTTGGGGGACAAATGTATGGAACATGTCAGTGTTGGGGACGAATGTATGGAACATGTCTGAGATAAATGTATGGGAACATTTCTGAGACAAATGTATAGAACATGTCAATGTTGGGGACAAATGTATGGGAACATTTCAGTGTTGGGGACAAATGTCTGGAAACATGCCAGTATTGGGGACAAATGTATGGGAACATCTCAATGTGTGGGACAAATGTTTGGAAACATATTAATATTGGGGACAAATGTATGGGAACATGCCTGAGACAAATGTATGGGAATACGTCAATTTTGGGGATAAATGTGTGCGAACATGTCTGAGACAAATGTTTGGAAACATATTAACGTTGAGGACAAATCTATGGGAACATGTCAGTGTTGGGGGCCAAAGGTATGGGAACATGTCTGTGACAAATGTATGTGAATTTGTTAATGTTTGGGACGAATGTATGGGAACATGTAAATCTATGGGAAAATGTCTGAGACAAATGTATAGAAACATGCCAATATTGGGGACAAATGTAGGGAAACATGTCTGAGACAAATGTATGAAAACATGTGTGAGACAAATGTATGTTAACATGTCTGAGACACATGTAAGGGAACATGTCAATATTGGGGACAAATGTCTTGGAACAAGTCAATCTGTGGGACAAATGTATGTGAATATGTCAATGTTAGGGACACATGTATGGGAAAATGTCAATCTATGGGACAAATGTATGTGAATTTGTTAATGTTTGGGACAAATGTATGGGAACATGTAAATCTATGAGACAAATGTATGGAAACATGTCAATATCGGGAACAAATATCTGGGACAATTGTATAACGTCTATACTTTTATAAAACTAGTAAATAAAAAAAAAATCGTGTTAGATTTTTGTCTATGGCTTTATGAAGTAGACACACATAGGTGTTGGAAGTTGTGGGATTTTAAAGAAAAATAAACCTGTGGCATTGACTTAAGCCTGTATTTCTAATATCAACATAAGACATTTTTCTTTATTTCAACTCCCCCCCCCCCCCCTCAAGTGTTCCTATCTCTACCTGTAAATAAAGACTCTAGCTCCGCCCCCCCCCTACAAATAAAACTTGTTATGACGTCATTTCACGCCAACTTGCTGTCTGTCTGCTTCACTTGGAAATGGAAGGTCAATGTGACCCTCACTCTTTAAGTTAGTCGTTTCTCTAACGCCTCTTCCCTCGCATCTATCTCTTTATATATATATTTATATATATATATATATATATATATATATATATATATATATATATATATATATATATATAAACATATAGTGGTATATATCTATATAGATTGCATATTATATACACACATATATATAAACACACACACACACACACACACATATATATATATATATATATATATATATATATATATATATATATATATATATATATATATATATATATATATATATACATGTATATACACTTACATAAACACATTTTTATACACACAAACATATACTTGTGTGTTTATATATATATATATATATATATATATATATATATATATATATATATATATATATATATATATATATATATATATATATATATACATACATACATATAGGCACGTGCCAATATACAATACATGAGTAGCGGTCTTTCCTGAAGAACGTCAAATCCTAGGGGTAGGGTTTTGTTGGACCTAGGTGCGGGAGGCAGGTGAATGGTCTACAAAATGTGATGTCATCCTTTAGCATTAAATCTAAATTTTAAATTGTGCTTTTTTTGTCACGGTTTGTATCACGAATATATCAATATCCATAACGCTAATCAAACTTTAAATTTAGAAAGGTAATCGCTGCTTTTAAAAAAAAAAATTAGTAATCTGTTTAATGTGCCGTCAGTTTAATGGGGAGGGAGGGGGGGTCTGACTTTTTGTGACGAAAAGCAGAAATTTGTGTGTAGTGGGGGGGGGGGGCAGATAAAGGTCGATGATGTTAAAAATCGTTGAACAGCTTGATGTTTTATAATGATAACCCATCTAAGACAGGTAAGGTATTCAAGAAATGCTTTGCTCAGTGGTGAGAGTTACCTCCCTCTCTGCAACAGGAATCTCCCGATGAAAGCAGAATGATAACATTAATAAAGTTATGCTCTAATCACTGGATGGTTTTTTTTTTACATCATGGTTTACTTCAGAAACGGAGAGGCTCGTCTTTGATAAATTGGTTTTTAACAAACAACAAAGTTCACGTTAAATTTAACTGCATTTTTTCCCTGATTTATATCAATTAAGCTTTTCCACAGATTTAATTAATTAGGTTAATTAGAACGTTGATTGAAAGAATAAAAAGATATTTAATTGAAATAAAATTGGCAATTATTTAAAAACCAAATAGAGCTAAAAACTATGCAGGTTACTTGGTACAGATTTGCTTAAACTCTTTGATAAATTAGTTATGGCATCTTTAATCTTGCGTAGGTTTTTGTAAAGCAGGTTATAGAGAGTATACTACACATTTTGCTCTTGTATGCAAAAATTTGTGATCAACATTCAATCATGAGGTAAAAATAAGTGTAATTACAGACCAAAATATTTTTAGTTTTTGATTATAATTAGTTTTAAAATGAATTTATATAGAAATTATATCCTTTTAACAGTGTCCGCTCATCGGAAATTTTAGTCGCTCCCCCCCCCCTCACGAAAATTTCAGGTCCCCCCCCCCCCCCCCCCCAAGGAGAAAAAAGTCTCGAAGAAACACTGCTAACTGCTAATACTATACCCAATAGAATAGGCTAGCTACTACTACTATCCCTGTAGCAATTCAAGCTAGCTTATACTACTATCTCCGTGGAAAGGCTAGGTACTAATACTATCTTCATAGAATTGCAGGCTACCTTCTTCAACTATCCATGTGGATAGACAGGCTAGCTACTACTACTATCCCTGTCGAAAGACAACTACTCAGAGGCGTAGCGAGGGGGTGGGGGCGGGGGGGTGCGGACCAAACCGGGTGACACAATTTAGTGGGGTGACACCAAGGCAAAAAATAGCAAAATATATAGAGAAAAATAATTTGAGGGGGGGGGGGGGGGTGCAAATCGAAAGTTTAAGGGGGGGGGGGGTGCAAATCGAAAGTGTGAGGGGGGTGCAGATGTAAAGTTTGAGGGGGGGGGGTGCAAATCGAAAAATGAAAGTTTGTCCCCGGGAAGGGTCGCTACGCCTCTGGGGGGGGGGGGGGTGACACCATTAAGTGACACCCGACCTCGCTACGCCACTGCTGCTACTACTATCCCTGTCGAAAGACAACTACTATTACTGTCCTAGTATAGCTACACACTATTACTATTACAAACCATTACTAACTACTCATAAAACCCACAAACTATTTGCCAAAATAAGAGCACCGAGCATTACCTTTATTGGATGTAACCAAATAGGGAATTCCCATTCGCTGCAACATCATAGCCAGGTTCGTGTAGAACGGACCGATGATGATATTAGGAAGGGAGTTATCATCGACGCCATCTTTGTTTAGCTCTGTGAGAAAAAAAAATCATCATGGAGCTGAAACATCCGAGTAAATATTCCCTCATTATTGTCATGGGCGAACGCATTGGCATTCAGGGGAAAAAACTCAAGTCAATATCAATCGTGTTTTGGTTGGGTCTGTAGAGGATTTGAACACAGGAATTATTTGATGCATGATTTGTTTATAGGTGTTGTGACGGGAAAGGGAGGCAAGGCATGGTCGAGAGAACTGCACAGTAGCCTCCCTTGCAGTAACACATAGACAGCGTTACTTTGCTTTAGTTAATTTTGTTTGTTTCGTAAAAACAACTTCAAGGTAAAATAGGCTTCAATAGACTATGTAGTCATAGTAAATTAAAAAAAAAATCTTTAAAAAATATGGCAAGCGATAAAATTATAGTTACATTTTTTTTTTAAAATAAGCCATTTGGAAATCATTGATTACACTCATTTTTATATTTTTGAGTTAATAAAAACAGTTGAAAAGCCGTTTTGAATTATTTTATCAATTAATTTTTTTTTAAACCGAACTCAGCCTCGCCTTGAAGTCAACAGGAATGGCCAGGGAGAGTAAAACAATGAAAGTCACAACAATTGTTTTACACGATAAAAAACACAACAATGGTGAATAGCCTAGTTTTGTTTTTATATTAAATAATATAACATCCCACTTCACCACAACACCCTGACTCTATTGATCCAAATTAAAAATAAAAGTGTTCGCTAAATTACTATTATATTCCTAGTAATATAATTACTAGTAATTATTTGTTTGAATATTTCTAATCTTAATAAAACCGGAAATAATTTTGTACTTATTTCACACATGTCATAAAATATTCACTTTTGGTTGAAAAATATGCTTTCTGGCAACAATCATTAGGAACCATCTTTTCAAACCTATTGACAATTTCACTCCTTGATTTAACGAATGATCTCAAAAATCACCTATACCCCAATGTCCCAAAACGCCACTCACATTCCAATATCCCCAAATTCCAAAACGCCACACATCCCAAAATCCCAAAATCCCAAAACGCCACACATCCCAATATCCCAAAACGCCACAAATCCCAATATCCCCAATATCTCCAAATCCCAAAACGCCTCACATCCCAATATCCCCTAATCCCAAACGCCACACACATCCGAATATCCCAAAATCCCAAACGCCACCCATCCCAATATCCCCAAATCCCAAAACTCCACACATATCCCAATATCCCCAAATCTCAAAAGGCCACACTCTCCAATATCCCAAAATCTCAAAACGCCATACATCCTAATATCCCAAAATCCTAAAATCCTAAATGCCACAAATCCCAATATCCCCAAATCCCAAAACACCACACATCCCAATATCCCAAAATCCCAAAACGCCACACATCCCAATATCCCAATATCCGATATATCCTAACTCACGTGTAAAGATCCCGTGTTCTATGCCCGTCCAGCCTTTAGTGGATATGTTGAGCACCCCGTTGACAGCGAAGAAGACGTACTGAGTGTTCTGGAAACATCTATCCACCAGACTCTCGCGCGTCATCTCCGCCTGGAGAGATGCCTGATCCTCGAACTCGCTAGTAGTGGCACTCAGTTGACCTGTGGGGGAGATGAGAATTTTTTTAGTGTGGTTTTATGTGGGGGGGGGGGGCACTCAGTTGGCCTGTGGGGGAGATGTGAATTTTTTTTAGTGTGGTTTTATGTGGGGGGGGGGGGGCACTCAGTTGGCCTGTGGGGGAGATGTGAATTTTTTAGTGTGGTTTTATGTGGGGAACGGGTGGGGGGAGGGAACTCAGTTGACCTGGAGGGGAGATGTGAATTTTTTAGTGTGGTTTTATGTGGGGGGCACTCATAAGACATGTGAGGGAGAGGTGAATTTTTTAGTGTGGTTTTATGTGGGGGGGGGGTGGGGGGGCACTCAGTTGACCTGTGGGGGAGATGTGAATTTTTCAGTGTGGTTTTATGTGGGGGGGGGGCAGTCATAAGACTTGTGAGGGAGAGGTGATTTGTTTAGTGTGGTTTTATGTGGGGGGTGGGCACTCAACAGACCTGTGGGGGAGAGTTGAATTTTTAGTGTGGTTTTATGGGGGGGGGGCACTCAGCAGACCTGGATGGGGGAGAGGTGAATTATTAGTGTGGTTATATAACCTGTGGGGAGATGTGATTTTCTTTAGGATATTTTCATGGGGGGGGGAGGGGCACCAAACAGACCTGTGGAAGAAATGTGATATTGTAGTGTGTTTTCATGAGGCGCACTCAGCACATGTTTGGAAATATGTGATTTTACTTTTGTTCGTCTGTTATGTGGCTACACCATTTCTAATAATAAAAACTAAAAAAACATTAACATTAGAATAAACGTTACATTCACAGTGACATTATTTGTAAAGTAACATTTTAGTTCAGCCTCAGTGGCTTGTCACATGTTTGGTATACATTAAGTTCGTTTCAACTACATTGATATATTTTCGGGCAAATAAAATACATCGCTTACATACTCTTTCGCCTACACTCATTACACCCAAATAAACACCTTCTAACACACGCTCTCGCCCTAAAACCTTACACCTAAATACACACCTTCTAACACACCTTCTCGCCTACACACCTTACACCTAAATACACACCAACTAACCCACACACCTACACCCACACATTCTGATTCACCTAGATATTTTATATCTCTCTCTAATGCAAGATTTTTAAATAACATGAGTAAAAAAAAACGTGCTGTCTGATTAATATCTCTACTGTCATTTCACGCTAACAAGTTGTCTAGACTTCCATGCCCAACGATTCTGGTGTTCCAAAATTTACTGCATTAAAAAGTTTGATTTGCTTTAAGTGTTTTTATTTTAAGCTTGTACTGAGTGTTAATATAGGTTGTCGTCTGTATGTTTGTTTGTTTGTGTGTGGGTTTGTAATCATGTTGTAGTTCAAATATGACCGATGTCCAATACTTAAATTGTAAAAAACTCAACGCAGTGGGATGATGTGGATCTAGTGGTAGAGCACTAGACTGCTAACCCGAACGATTCAGTATATATATATATATCTATATATATATATATATATATATATATATATATATATATATATATATATATATATATATATATCTGTGGCGGAACTAGAAAAAAGAGCTCACATAATTAACCATTTAAAAAAGGGAAATAAGTCATGGAAGTGTTTTGAACGTTTGCCTATATTCACACTACAGCTAAGGCAAATATTTTTTTACGCAACAGCATGTGTTAGCTACTGTATAACATCACTACTGTTGTGGATGTGTTTGTTATTTACAAAAGCTATTACCGTCAAATAAAAAAATGCAAGAAATTTTTTTTTAACTATAAAAAATGTAATATGGTCGGCTATGGGCCCCTAAATGGAGTGGGCCGCCCTGCATTGTAGTCTGGCGGCACTGTAGTTCCACCCCTGATATACATATATATATATATATATATATATATATATATATATATATATATATATATATATATATATATATATATATGTCCTTTTACCGGCACAAAAGATGGTAATTTAAAAAAAAATACAACCTAGCACATGGTAGCCTTGATTGTACAGTTTATACTCAATTGAGCAATTAATTATAAGAAAGTACACACATTTTTTTCCCTTCAAGTACAGCACCAATTAATTACGTACAAATATTTGGGGACATAAAAAAATTTAAATAAAACAAAACTCTGAAACCACCGACTGACGTCACGGCTTTGTTTACTAAACTAGAAACCTCGGACAGAATGGAACGCGAAAATGTATGTGTGCTGGGCTAAAAATAGAATTTGGAACAGGGCTGGTGTGATGTGTGAAAGATAGTAAAGGGAGGTAATTACGATTTTTTTAAGTTCAAGGGGAGGTAATTACAAATTTAAAGGGAAACAATTCGTTTTATTGGCTGGGGGGGGGGGGGGGGTGAGAAACATAGGTGAGCTGATGAGCGTTAATGTTCGCACGTGCATGCGCGATAATAATTTTTGTGTGTTTAAAAGATATAAAACAAAAACAAAAAATTAGTCGGGAGTTTTCAAACACTGAAGAGATGATATATAGTGTGTGACAGGTAGACGAAATAGTAGGTTGAGTGTGAGTAATTGTGGGTCGGAGTTTAGGATAAATGATAAGTGATGGATAATAGAAAGTGATGGCTAGTTTTAGATGTTAATTGTAAGTAATTGTGGGTTTAGTTTAGGATAAATGATAACTTTGGATAATAGAAAGTGATGGATAGTTGACAAGATCACAAGTGTTTTATTGTTTTATGTGTATACAATAGTTATCTATTTTACAAATTTAGAAATAAAGGTTTAACAATTTCTTTTTAAATATCAAGTAAAATTTTAAACTGAACAACAACAAACTCAGCTTAATTAGCCCCCCCCCCCCTTAAAGTTCTGACACAAATATTCATATATTTGTTGGACTGAATTTCATAATTATATATTGATTTGTTTAGAAAAGTGAAAGTATTTGCTCAACCAATTAGATTAGCTTGGGGTTTTAGCCAGAAATGGCGTCATAAACATTGTGGATGGAAGAGAGAGGGGGGGGCGAGCTTTCATTTTTTTGTGAAAAAGTGTGATGAGAGCGGATTAAGGAAAGCCTGTCGTCGTCGTGTTATTTCATCAGTCCATATTTAAAATAAAAAAACTTGTTGACTTATGTCTAACCTATTTTGTCGTTTTTTTAAAAGGGGTTGGGAGTGTGTGAGTGTGTGTGTGTGTAGAGGGGGGGGGGGGTGGTAAATGATATAGAGATATGGCTGTGACGTCATGTAAGAGATCGTCTCTTAAGATGAAAAGACTGTTGTGGGGTTGATGGTAGATGGTACTAAAAAGGGGAGGGGATGAAAAAATGGATGAAAAAATACTTTGACCACCTTTTATTTTTGTACAGTTCCGTCTAGATAATACATCGCTTTCGTATGTTATGCTATTTCAATATCATGATAAAACGTACATTAAATTAAAATTTCTGTCGGGCATGAAGATGCAAGAAAATCGACAAACAAATATACTGTGATTGAAAAATAAAAACATTATATATATATATATATATATATATATATATATATATATATATATATATATATATACAGATGCCAAAGTATGAGCGTGCGAACACAGCGAATCATCAATCCCTCCCACTGATAACTGTTTCAGTGCAATACACCCTTATCACATCTAAATAAAAAAAATATCTGACGAAATTGCAGGTTTTTGCCCCGTGTGAGTGCGTAATTTCTCATCGATTTTTTTTACATCTAGTAATCGTGCTAAATTCCACTGGTGCATTTGGGATTCTCATGTCTAAAACTGCACACCGTACAGAAATATATTTCATTTCATTTACCCAAAGCGTCTGTTAGATAGTTCATGTTTTTATATGACGAATTGTCTTGTGTGTAGCCTATAAAGTTACTATTAACTGTAATCAACCGTAGTCAATAACTGTGGGTAATTAGTACGTAACCCCTCATTTATACATTCTACATGCTAATTAATTAACTATAGAGTAACACCTCATCACATATTTATACGCTGCTTATAGAAATAAAGTTATGTTGTAGATATCCAAAAGAACATCGCGCAACCTCTTCAAGAAAAACATCAAAACCATTCCATATCATGCGACATTACAAAGGGATTATAGAAGCCTATTTATAAACAATGGACCTACACTAGGTCTATTATTAATAGTAAGTTCAAGCTTATAATAAGAGTATTGGCCTTCTTACCACTCGTATGACCCATTGCACTCAGTTGTAAGTTACTTATACTCGTGAAATAATCTTTTTCACTCTTCTATAATCAGAAGCAGTCAAGTATAATATTTTGCTCTAACGTGTATTCATATGTATTCAACTAGCCATTAGTTAACTTTATTCGCAAATAATTTATCACTCTAACCCACCATTAATCCAGTTTATTCTCTTATAACCAACGTTACATAATAATAAATTTTACTCACATTTAATCAATTTTTCTCTCATACAATCAACTTTATTTACCTACAATCAAATTCACTCACCTATAATTTAATTAACTCACATATAGTCAAGTTACGAATAACCAACTCTGCTAATATATTATCAAATTAGCTCACCTATAATCAACTTTACTCACATATAATCAACTTTATTCACCAATAATCAATTTACGAATAATCAATTTTACTCACCTATAATCAATTTTACCAACCTATAATCAATTTTTACTCTCCTATAATCAATTTTACTCACCAATAATCACATTTACTCTGCTACGATCAACTTTACCCACCTATAATCAACTTTACTCACATATAATCCAGTTACGTTACGTATAATCAATTTTACTCTCCTATAATCAACTTTACCCACCTATAATCAAGTTTACCCACCTATAATCAGCTTGTACTTGATCCCGCCCTTCGTCTTACTGCAGCCTTCTGCCGACTGCGCCATCACCCTCCTCCAAGACACCAACAACAACAGCAGCCAGACCACCAGCATATCTCCACACTTGAGTGATCTGCAGTACAGCATGGGGGGTAGACTAGCTCACCTCGGTTCAGATAATCGATTATTTAAAATCACCAATCGATATTGGAATTCAACACGTTATGTTTATACGTCATTAGCAGTTTAGAAGTTAGCTCTTGTAAATAGAAATCACCTTTTGATAATCGAATTCACGAGTTGATAATCACATTCTTAGAGTTCTATTTATTTTATTAGTAACAATATGTGTCATATGATATAGACAAAAGTCATCATTTGGTAATCCAGGACAGGTTTTAATAGAAGTTGAAAAAAACCATCGAGAATATCTGAGAATCAAAGTTTCCTATTGATCAGTTAAGTCACCACACTCTACTATCCTACTTGGTTAAACACAATGGTCACTACTTGATGTTATAAATCACCATCATATAACTCTTGAGGGTCATCACTTTGTAACATAAGTTACCACTTATTACAGATAACCAATCACTTGAATCCAGTCAACATAAATGGTAAATAAGTATTTACGATGGTATTCACATTTCTATGTGGAAATATGTTTTTATCTTGAATTGCTTATGTTTATTTAAGAAAATATTCCTTGAATAAAATCAGCCGTTGAAACGAAACTGTCATAAACTTGTAAAATCTGAAATAAAAGGAAAAAAAAAACAAGCATTTGTTAATGCATTGGTAGTTCTGAATGCTTTCTTGTTTTAATGTTGATCAATTAAAAACCTATATCAAATGCAGTCCATAAATAATCCTAACGTAAATATAATATATTGTTATATATATATATATATATATATATATATATATATATATATATATATATATATATATATATATTGCCTAATGCCAACATTTCTTTCTCACTTCAAACATTTGAGATATATTGTTATATATATATATATATATATATATATATATATATATATATATATATATATATAAATGTATATATATATAGAGTGTTGCCTAATGCCAACATTTCTTTCTCACTTCAAACATTTGAGTTTCTGCCGCGACATATTCTTGCACTTGTAACAATTAGCCGTCCCACTTAACATAGTATTGATGTAAGGATATAATCACGTGATGCTTTATCACGTGAACTTACCTTACACAACTGCAACCATCAAGTATCGTGAGTAGAGAGAGTGGGAGAGTAGAGAGAGACAGGAGGGAGAGAGGGAGAGGGAGTAGAGAAAGAGAGTGTGAGCGAGTATACAGGAGAGAGAGTAGAGAGATTGAGAGAGGAGAGTGAAAAAGGACAGAGTAGAGAGAGAGTGGAGAGAGTAGAGAGAGAGAGAGAGTAGAGAGAGAGAGTAGAGAGAGAGAGTAGAGAGAGTAGAGAGAGAAAGTAGAGAGAGAGTAGAGAGAGTGTGAGAGAGTAGAGAGTAGAGTGAGAGATAAGAGAGAGAGAGTAGAGAGAGTGTGAGAGTAATGAGAGTAGATAGAGTGTGTGAGCGAGTATAGTGGAGAGAGAGTAGAGAGAGTGAGAGAGGAGAGTGAAAAAGGACAGAGTAGAGAGAGAGTGGAGAGAGTGTGAGAGAGTAGAGAGAGAGAGTAGAGAGAGTGAGTAGAGAGAGAGTAGAGAGAGAGAGAGTAGAGAGAGTGTGAGAGTAGAGAGAGAGAAAGTAGAGAGAGGGAGTAGAGAGAGAGTGGAGAGAGTGCGAGAGTAAAGTGAGAGTGTAGAGAGAGTGAGGGTAGAGAGCAGAGAGTAGAGAGAGAGAGTAGAGAGAGAGTGGAGAGATTATGAGGGAGTAGAAAGAGAAAGAGAAGAGAGAGCGTAGAGAGAGAGAAGTAAAGAGAGTGAGAGAGAAAGATAGAGAGAGCTACCTTTCGATTGTTGAGCCGAGGTGTGCACGGCCTTGACCGAGATACCACTCACCCACGCATGAAGGGTTTATTAAATTTTCCTGTCAATTATTTTAAAGTAATGTTTTGGTTTACGCTGAGCAATCCTAGACGCTGAGAAATGTGGAATTCTGGGATTTATTGAATCATTAGACACACGCACACACACACACAGACATACACACACACACATAGACATAAACACACACAAATATGTATATATATATATATATATATATATATATATATATATATATATATATATATATATATATATATGTATGTATATAATATATATATATATATATATATATATATATATACATATATATGTATGTATATAATATATATATATATATATATATATATATATATATATATATATATATATATATATATATATATATATATATATTAAACGCACATATACATATATGTATGTATATATATATATATATATATATATATATATATATATATATATATATATATATATATATATATATATATATATATATATATATACATTTAAATCTAGATATTATCATTCCTGTGCACCCCTTATGAAGTATAGTGACCTCACCTCTCTCTTGTACTTGGTTTTGGGCGATTCCTCAAAGTTTGGCCCACGTCATATATGAATGTATATATAAATATATATGTATATATAAACATATATATATATATATATATATATATATATATATATATATATATATATATATATATATATATATATATATATATATATTCATACATATATATATGTGTGTGTGTATGCGCGTGTGTGTGTGTGATTTTGAGTTTGAAAACTAATACAACTGAAAGAAACAAAGCAACCATATTTTTTTCTTACTAAATCATTTTTGTTAACACCGACGAACAAAACAAAACTTGAACAATACGACCAACAACACCACCCACAAAGAGATAGCCGCACATTCTTTCTACCTTTCGACAAGTTATTTGTAAACACGAACATCCTACGTAGTTCTCTAATACAATATCTGTTCATCGTTTGATAAATCTTTCTGACAGGCAGACAAAATATGTCTCCACAGGTTCGCTTTAGTATGTTTACAATCAGATGCATATAGAAAAAAAACGAAACAAGAGTATACTTTATACGGTAGTCATAGTTACATCGTCTAGATTTATGTTGATGTGGTTGAGAGTGGTTGGGAGTGGTTGATATGATAGAAAAGTTCATGTTCAAATCTTATCTACATTGTAAATGTTATTATGACTTTACTCAGTTTAAAATGGTAATTTGTAGACCTTCATAATTTGCTGTTACGTGACCTCAGTAGGACTGCATTTAATTTTATGATCCAGAACTTGAGAGATTAAATTTGGAAATTACGGTGAGATAACATTGGTGAGGTTTAGTTAGCTACAATTAGATGTACACGGTTAGATAACCGTAAGGTAGCAAATGGGGAGATAACAATGGTGAGGTATATTGGTAAGTTAGTACTGGTGAGCTAAAAATAATAAGATAACTGTATGAAAGTAGCAATGAGATAGCGATAGTGAGATGTGTGAGATAGCAACAGAGAGGTGAGATAAATGTAAGGTTGTAAACGTGAGATAGCAATGGTGAGATAACTATAAGGCAACAGCGTTAAGATATAAATAATGAGACAATTGTGATATACACACTTTTAGATAGCAATATTGAGGTGAATATGAAGTGGAAACTGTGAGGTAAATATGGTGAGATAGCTGTAATGTAGTAGCTGCAAGATTACAAGGGTGAGATAATTATGAAATAGGCGCGATGAGGTAACAATGGAGAGAAAGCGATGAGGCACCGCAATGAGATTACACAGGTTTGATAACCGTAAGATAGAAAAAGTGAGGTAACAATAGTGAGATAATTATGAGATAGCAGCAGTGAGATACACATGGGGGAGATAACGGTTAGATAGTAACGGTGAGATAGCGAAAGTGAGATATGAGTGAAGTATCAGCAGTGAGATGTACATATTGAGATAACGGTAAGGTAGTAACCATGAGATAGCAATAGTGAGATATGAGTGAGATAGTAGCAGTGAGATATACATGGTAAGATAACTAAGAAAACAGTGAGTGAAGCTTAAGTGTAAGAAAATAATTCATAATTTACTAGATGTAGAACCTGCCAATATGCCTCTTATTTGTTGACAGGTAGATCAAGTTAGACGTATGCGACGTCAACTGTAGACAGGTAGATCAAGTTAGACGTATGTGACGTCAACTGTAGACAGGTAGATCAAGTTAGACGTATGTGACGTCAACTGTAGACAGGTAGATCAAGTTAGACGTATGTGACGTCAACTGTAGACAGGTAGATCAAGTTAGACGTATGTGACGTCAACTGTAGACAGGTAGATCAAGTTAGACGTATGTGACGTCAACTGTAGACAGGTTGATCAAGTTAGACGTATGTGACGTCAACTGTAGTTAGGTAGATCAAGTTAGACGTATGTGACGTCAACTGTAGTTAGGTAGATCAAGTTAGACGTATGTGACGTCAACTGTAGTTAGGGAGATCAAGTTAGACGTATGTGACGTCAACTGTAGTTAGGTAGATCAAGTTAGACGTATGTGACGTCAACTGTAGTTAGGTAGATCAAGTTAGACGTATGTGACGTCAACTGTAGACAGGTAGATCAAGTTAGACGTATGTGACGTCAACGGTAGTTAGGTAGATCAAGTTAGACGTATGTGACGTCAACTGTAGTTAGGTAGATCAAGTTAGACGTATGTGACGTCAACTGTAGACAGGTAGATCAAGTTAGACGTATGTGACGTCAACGGTAGTTAGGTAGATCAAGTTAGACGTATGTGACGTCAACTGTAGTTAGGTAGATCAAGTTAGACGTATGTGACGTCAACTGTAGTTAGGTAGATCAAGTTAGACGTATGTGACGTCAACTGTAGTTAGGTAGATCAAGTTAGACGTATGTGACGTCAACGGTAGTTAGGTAGATCAAGTTAGACGTATGTGACGTCAACTGTAGTTAGGTAGATCAAGTTAGACGTATGTGACGTCAACTGTAGTTAGGTAGATCAAGTTAGACGTATGTGACGTCAACGGTAGTTAGGTAGATCAAGTTAGACGTATGTGACGTCAACTGTAGTTAGGTAGATCAAATATGACGTTTGTGACGTCAGCTGTAGACAGGTAGATCAAGTTAGACGTATGTGAC